ACTTGATTTCTTTTCATTTTTTCTTTGTCCCCTCTCACAAAATTCTTCAAAGCTTTAACAAAGCTTTAACAAAATTTCTTAAATCCAATATAGGAAACTTATCCAGGTCACTCTCTTTGTTATTTGCATATACCTTTTAATTATTAAGACTTCAGCCAGTTTCTTTTGTATGTCCAGTGTAGTATCTTATTCCATATCATTCTTGTAGCCTGTCATTTTTAAAGGCACTTTCAAATCAGTCTAAATCCTGTCAAGTAAAACTTGTTCCTCTTCCATAACATCTTTTAAACAGTCTATCTATAGAGGCAGACACTCTTAAAATTAACTTCTGGGTCCATTTTCAAAAATATACTTCAATATGTCCAATGTTAAAATATTTTGCTTCATTCTGTATTTGTAATCAAATTTCAGTGTTCTTCTCCTTTAATTGTAATATTTAGTTCCTTCTGGTTCCCTCTAGTGTATAAACTTCAAAGTCTCATCCTATCATGCTTTTTTAAATAATTCAAAACAAAAACATTTTCCCATAGGAAGGATTCTTATAATTAATTCCAAAATTTTATTTCAAATCTATCTGGACCCTCAGTCTGTTTGTAACTTTCCAAAATCAAAGTTCTAATCACCATTTCGCTAAAAAAAAAAAAATTTTTTTTGTTAAGTCCTTTAACTTGTATTTAAAATTTCTTTTGCTAAGGACTGAAGGAAACTCACCTGTTGTTTTCACACTTGTCGATCCAAAGGTTCCTAATAGCTAAAAAGCAGTTAACAAGCAATTTCCAAAAATGATTAGAAAAGGAAGTATGTGAACCCAGTGTCCTTAAAAGCGCCAACTGTGGTTTGAGCAAGATAGCTATTCCCTCATCACCCAGAACTCTAAACCTGCTCTAAACCTCTAAAACTGTCTTGTGGGCAATCTGAAGTGCTCTCCTTGTCCAGAGAGGAATTACAAAAAGCCAGTCTACTCGCCAGTTCTTCATTCCGCCGAGGTCATCAGCTCTGCTTTTAGCGCAGTCATCTTCAGTTCACCATTTCTTCCCCAGAAGTCAGGCAAAATTAAAAAGTATTTTTAATGGACAAAGTTTCATAAGCTTGCCAGATATTGCAAGATCACTGTGCTATCATATGAGAACTCATAAGTTATTACCATTTTAAATATTGGAAACATTCCTAGTTTTTTCAAATTTTAATTTTTTGGCATCCACAAAATTGTGTGAAATCATGGAATGGTTGCTGGCTTCAGGTTAAGCCTGACAGAATTTTAATGAAAATGGAAATTAAGGTACAAGAAAGGGACTCAGGAACTGGGAGTGCCTCATTATTAACCATGGTTAAATGTTCTATTACAACCAGAGTTTGCAAGTTCACTAAAATTAAAATTGTGTGTGCGCACTTCTGACACTTCTGGCAATGACCTGGACAAGTCCCCACAGTTTTCTTGGCAAGATGTCAGAAGTGGTGTGCCACTGCCTTCTTCCTAGGGGGAAAGAAAGTGACTGGCCCAAGGTCACCCAGCTGGCTTTCATACCTAAGACAGGACTAGAATTCACGGTCTCCCAGCTTGTGGCCTGGTGCCTGTGGAAGAGCAGGCTGCTTGACAAAATTGCAGGCACCTGTCCTACCTTCTTTCCCTCCCATTTGAGCCTTTCCCCCCACATCAACACGGCAGAGTTGCCAATAAAACAGCAACCCTGACACAGGTGTGGAAGGAGAGGTATGTTTTTGGAGCTCTGCAGCCACCAGTAAACTGAGAAGTGCATCAGCCAAAAGAAAGGTGTTTTTTCTTCAGAGGGAATGGACAGTCCAGAGAAAAAAAGTGCAGAGACCCAGCAAGAGAAAGTACAATTTAGAAAGGTGCAGGAGCTCTACATGCTGGCCATTAACAGAGAAGAAAAAAAGTAGAAGAAATCCCAGAGAGAGGAAAAAAAGACAGAACAGGTGCTGTAAGAAGGAAACACTGATGCATAATAGCATAGAGCATAGTATATAGGTAACAGTAAGAGTAATAGTATAGTGCAGAGGAAACATTGTCATCGTAACAGAATATAGGATAGAGGTAATAACACACACACACACACACATATATATTTTAAATCTTATGTATCACTTTTATAGAATGTTTTGCAAAATAAGAAGTCTCCCCATCTCTTGTAGGGAGATATAAAGAAACCACCTCATCCAGGGTCCATGCTTTTGTGTCTCTCTTGAAGCTGTGTCATTCTAATTGGGTATGGTTTAAAGAAGAACCCATGACAGTGCCTTAACTACTACACCAAACTGGCTCTCTTGTTTAACCTCTAGACTATGACTAATATTGGTATCTATGGCTAACTTACAATAAGCAATAATTTACATTTTAATTTAATTTAATTTATTAATAATAAATAATTTAAGTCATTCTAAATAGGTATAATGGCTCTCATATTCTAACAAAAAAGAATTATAAAAAGCTGCAATCTAAAAGTGAAGCATGAAGTTTCTCTTATTTAACGTTTTCGATGAGATAGTAAAAGGAACTATATTGTAACTCTTACAGCTTTATGGCTTATTTCAAATACTTGAGTTACATTCTTCAGTGATGATTGAAACATTTTTATAACAGTAGTAATATGGTTTGGGAACAAAGATAATGGGTTCCTACAAAGCTACCCCAAAACAGGGTTTGATTTTGGTTTCATATGTTTTGTGAACCCAACTACTGTCATTTGTAAGGTTTTATGACTTAGTGTGTGGTATAAGCGCAGTCCAGTTGTTTCAGTTAATTTGTTTTTAACTTTTAGTATTTGTTAGGTGAAATATCCAAAAGTAATATATTGGCAACTGATTATTAGATATGTATCGCATGCAACTCCAGTTTTATCCTCACAATGCCACTGCAAAATTAGGTGGGCTGAAATATGGGAGCTATCCCAAGTCATCCAGGGAACTTAACTGCTAACTGGAGTTTCTCAGTAATAATCCAGTGTTTTAGTAACTACACCACACTGGACTTGGCCCTTAATTTTTCTTTAGCTTCAACTTTTCAAAGTGATAAAAATTATCTAAATCATACATCTTAATCCTGAGTTTCCTGTGGTAGTGTTACCCATCAATATCAAAATATTTGTTTTGCAAACAATACTAATTCCAAGCAATGTTTATCAGCATCATACCATAAAATATTAGGTAAAGGGCAGAAAAGAAACTACATAGATTAACAGTTGGCTAAATAGATTCATGGACCAAAACAACCTTCTGTAGGAACGTATTGTTTTCAAAGACAGAATTACTGTTTGTTTTCAAAGTATGATAAAGAAGAAAATATGAGATAATGTAGTTAAAAATACATTCATGTGGACCGAACTTATTGGGAGACGTTTATGGAAGTATTTTCTTTGCACACAAACGTTAGCATCAGTAGCATTAAGGATATTGTTACCTGTAGCACATATTTCTCAAAACTCAATCAGATGAGTGAAAGGTCCATTTGTATCTACTCTCAATACCTGTCGGTTTCCATATGTGCCGTGCTTCAGGACTACACCAGCTTCTGCACATTTGGCATTGGCAGCCAGTTGTCTTTCACACTGAATCACAAATTTGGAATAGAGTTCTAGCCCAATTTCCTTTTCAATGTTGGCATGATATTGCATGCTTCTTCCTTTCAATTTACCACCCAGTGTGGCTTGTGGTATTACAAGTATACTACCTGGCAAATCCAAAACAGAAACATATTTGCCACCTTCATTTTCACTTAATTTCACATTCAGGAGTGTATTGACTGCAAAAAATAACAAGGGAAAATATTGTGATTAGCAGGTTTCAAACCCATCACACGTAATCAATAATGCATGTTTAACTTATGTTTATTTATTGAACACATTTATACTCTAGTTTTCAGCAGGAAAAAAAAACCTTAAAAGAACAAGCTTGTGAAACAGTAATATAGGCCCTGCTCTCATAGTGTAAAAATACATAACACAAAGGAAAGAATGGGGAGGGAAACACAAAGGAAAAACATTCATTCAATTCTTAATGGTACAGATGCAGCAATTACGAAACATATTGTATAAACTGAAATGCAAGTACTGTAAAGTTTCCTATATGTACCTACATACCAGCTCAAATGAAACACGTATCTATATGCTAGTTCCCTCTACTGGCTCCCTGAGGCATTTACTGTACTTTTCTACATGGAGGTCTAAGCCATTTTGGAGCTGGAAATTATTAAAATTTAACTAGATGAGTTAACTGTTCTCTAGAAGTTTCTGTCCAGCAAACAGCAAGACTGACAACCTCTTTTCAAACAACTGTCTGAAATACTGAGATTCCATTCTTAATAATTGTTTACAAGTTGAAGTAAGTTCCAAGTGAATTATTTCTAAGGACTGCTTCCTATGTTACAGTTCATTAGGTAGGAATCTATTTTGTCAGAACAACTAATACTTGAAATCACTTCAGACACTAAAGCTGAGGGGCTTGGCCTTCTGTGTTGTCCCAAACCTAGAAACCTGATTTCCTTGAGATTTAGAACCCTCCTTTTGGTCCCTGGACACAAGAGATGGGAACAAGAAAATGGGCTCTCTGTAGCTGAAGTGTCTCTTCTGCTCCTATTTTATTTTTTAAACCTCCACAAAAATGTTGAATCAAAGGAGATTAGGAGAGCACTGCCTTCCTCTCATCCATAGTGGCTATGACCCTGATAACAGTTTTTATTTAATTTGCTTACAGTCCAACCTAATCACAGTTCTGTATTGCTGTTGTGAAGATAAAATGCAGGGAAATCCTCTGTAAGCCATCTTGAGTTCTTGGAAGAAAGGCGTGGTAACAAATAACTAGTAATTTAAAAATTATAAAAAGCTAAAACAGAAAGAGGTAGTTGGCTAACCTCTGCAAACTTGGGTGGATACTAGTGAAATTGGACTGTCTCAGGTTTGCTGAGTCCTCTGGTGCTGGTAAGTATGTAGTGTGCCTATGATTTAGCTAAGCATGTTGCATACAGTGTTGGATATAGGGTCTTAGAAGCAGCAAAGGATTTTGGCCTTATCTGTACTTTTAGAAGAGGATTTAATTGTGTTTTGGTGCCACTTCCCATGTTTATTTCCAAAACCCTAAAAGTTTTTTTTTTAAAGAATAGTAATTAAGTTTACATATCAATGACCTCAGGTCAAAAGATAAATACATATTGGAATTTTATTAATGATGTATGCTACCTCTATTAAGAAGAACTGGACTTATATACAACATAGTTAGAAGGAAATGTCTGTCCTGGTTAACCTTCCCCACAGAACAAACTTTTGTTTATGCACAAACATAAATACACTGTTTTTAATCTCTTGTTCTAAGAATATTTTATCTGAAAAACCTACCCATTTGGGGAATAATGTCTTCACTGGCCCCTTTGAAGAAACATACATAGATTATAAGACCACGCTGGATCTATATAAAATGATAAAGATATATTGAAGTATTGTGTATCTATTTGCACAGTGTAATTTACTGTTTACTGTAATTTAAAAACAATATTCTGAGTACAAACCAATACAGCCTGCACAATCCTACAAATTTCGACTAAGAAGACTCACTAAGTTAAATGTGGTTTGAATTCTGATTACTCTATTTGGCAAAAGTAATTTATTTCAAAATACTTTGATTTAAAAAGTTGGTACGTGTGTATATGTTTTCAGCATTTGGCATGCTAAAGCAAATTTCACCTAAGACACATATTTTTAAAATGTAGGAAACTCTCTTGAAGAGTTTATCCTGGAATAAAATAGAAGACTTTCCTACTGAAATTCCAAATGCTACACACATTTAGAAATATATGTTTAGTGACAATGTGGTGAATATTTTTATGTTCCAGATATCCTAAAGACCTGTATCATTGTTTTAGCATGCATTCTGAGATATATTAAGAATAGACTTGGCTGCACATTTCTATGAAATGAATAAGAAAAATCGGCAGGTGCCTACATATTTTTTTAAAATAAATGTCATTAAGTTCAATGGGCTTACTTACAACTTGCACAGGTTGCGGAAGAGGTATTTGTAATCTGAATGAGTTGTGTCAAGTGTAGATGTCACATTGATCAAAGCAAGTGAGTTTTGTCATGTGATAAATTCCTAAACCATTATTTTTTTTCAGTGCCGGAAATGTTTCTCGTAAATTATTTTGGGGACCAGACGATAGGCACGTTAATAACGCAGGTGAAGTATTCCCGCGGTATGAAAAAATCGACAAGGGTTATTGTAATAATGAACATTATGAGTTCCTGTTTATTTCAGGAAGGCGGATTAGGCACAATGTGAAGATCGAATCGAAGGGAAATGAACTCCCCTGAACCGCGGATCTCGGGGACAGTTCGGTAGAGTAGGTGGGAAGAGAGTGATAAAAGCATGCAGGAAAGGGAAGAGAATTTGGCCATCAATCCGCAAGATTCGCAAAGCTAGTATTACCTCAACCCATCTGGCTTCGGATCCCGGCTCAGCGGGCTTCACCTGCAGCCGCGCGCGGAGACACTGCTGCAAAAGTGCACGAGCTAGTGGACTCGGGTTCGGGGCAGCCATAAAGGAACAAACGAACAGGCAGCTCAGGGGAAAGCAAATCCCCGCTCTGGCCTTATTCTCAAACTCCTCCTCCACTTCCTTCTCTAAGATGACGCAGACTCCTCCCGCTTCTTTTCCCTGTTGCAGTTGGTGATAACCATGGCTGTAGACTCCTGCTCAGAGACAATTTGTTTCTTTGAAGAAAACTCTTCCTGTTCGAGATCTAGTATTCCCCCCCTTCACACAAATGCACAAAACTAGGCAGCAGTACAAACTGTCCATTGAAAACAATGGCAAAATTTACAATTTGATCTGAAATTCAGTCGGTTTCACAAAACTTGAAAACATAAGAGAATCTAACTTGTTCCTCCTGTTTTGTAAATTAGGCATATTTGTGGGACATTATTAAACTCAACTCTGCTTTATTTAGTCTCTTCTAAATGTAATGTGACACAGCCAAGTGACTGAAAGAAAAAGAAAGGAGACTAAATACAAGCTCCTGCATTTTTATGTAACCCAGAGGATTGCAATAAACTTGGGGAAATGAGTGAAGCTGGTGCCATAACTTCAGTATGAGAAGGAAGGAAATACTTAGGATGCTAGGAATCTGGGTGCCTGGGATTTATAATTGGCTGAAGGTAGAACAGAGGGAAGAGTGTACTGTACAGGTATGCAAGGGGAAATGGGTAACCTGATCACGAGATGAAATAAATAGGTTCTCAATATATGGTTCTCACCACAAAGTGGAGAGGAAGAAACAAAACTTAAAGAATGGAAAACATACAAAAAGATGTGACATTGTGGGTGCAGAGGCATACACATGCAGATCTGGGGACCCTGTTTGATGTAAGTTTTGTCCCAGAAGGAGCCTAGAAGAAATGGCTAGGAAAAAGAAAAGGAAGTGATTGGTTGAGGGAAGCTAAAAAGGAGTCAGAGATTTACAGTGCGACAAAAGGGTTCCTCAAGAATGGAAAGAAAGAAGGCAAAGCTGTATGGTTTGAGAAAGGTGACTCCCACATCAAGCAGCTTAAGAAAGCAAAAGGGAGATAAGACAAAGGTTCCAGTTAGGAGAGGAGAGAGAGGCTGCTTGACAGTAAGAGATAAAAGGCTTTCTCCCCTCTGTATCCCATTGACATGCCTGCCTCCAGCTTGGGCTCAAGATAGGTGGGTAAGTTCCACCCAGGAAGGGAATCAATCCAGCTGGAGAGAAGGTTGAGGCCAAGAGAGCCTTTTGTGTGAGGGCTGGAGGAGCAGATCCCTGGAACCAGGAGGAGGTACAAGAGGAATTGAAGCAAGAGCCAAGAGAAGGGGAGAAGAAACCTGTTTCAGGAGATATTTGCAAGGTTGTTGACATGCATATTTGGGGTTTAAAATGTATTGGATTTCAAAAAAGGGCCTGTGTGGTATTGAGTGCCAGGGAGAGATTGCATTCTCCAAGGAAGCCTCAGAGCACTTTGGGTGGGGATGCATTCCCACTGAGCTCAATAGCTACTGTTGTGTCAAGGTACTTGAGTATCTTGTAAATCTGGTTGTAGTTGTTTATGGTTATCACTTGATGCAAGTAGTAGAATAAAGCTGTTCTCAATTTTAGGTTCTGAAAGCAAGAAAGTAAAGATGTGTAGCCTGTTCAGAACAACAAGTGTCATGGGTTGTATTAGATCTAGAATGGGGGAGGCCTGGTAGAGCACCCTGGTAGTGGGAGGCTGAAAAAGGGGTTTTGCTTGTTTTCTAATGGGAGTCAAAAAAATTGACTGCAACCCAAACTTTTGGGAACTTCATTTGGGGTATAGTTTTTTCAAACTTTGACCTAGCTACTGTGGGAAAAACAGGACTATGAAAGAGCTATATTTAATAGTCATGTACTATAGAGAGAAATTTATTAAGTGTTTCTTACTCCATCTTTTACATCCAAGCAGCCTAAGGGGCAGGCACTACTTCCAACCATTTTTTAAAATGTATTTCCTTTCTTGGGTAAACTAACTCAGTAGTTATGAGTCACTTGCTCTTTGTGTGAGTGAGGGGAGAAGATGGGATGGATGAAAAAGCAAGAACTGAACAGTTTAAAAGGCAGTTTAAAAGTAAAACTGGTGCCATGAATAGCAGGGTGTTTTAGAAATTAATAATATTGGGGGCTGCATCCCTTGCAGTGTTACTTTAATTACCACTTATTGGCACTGGTGGGCACTCCTGAGGCGCTCATCGCCTAGAAGTGCCCAGCTGACATTAGTTCCCAGCGCTTGCAGGAACCCAATGAAATTTAGTTAGTTTACCTTTACGCGCAAACGCTGAGGTGAACTAACCAGGGAAAAGAAAGGATCTTGCCGCCGGAAGAATACCCCTCTCCTGGATCCGATGGCTTACTTTTCAAGAAAGGGGCTGATCTGAGGTTTAGCTAAGCACAGCACAAGCGTATGTCTGGGAGGAAATGAGACGGGCGGCTGGCGCTCTTACTTCAGCGCTAGGAATTGCCATCTTCCAGCGGAGCTGCGTACGGGGAACAATCTCACAGCGGCTCCAACCCCGTTGGGTAGAAGCAGTGAACGCATTTTACTCCGTCCGTTTTCAGGTGAGCGATGCACTAAAAGGTTTGAATGACTGGGCACTCTCGTTCTGTGTCCCGCCTGTGTCTTAAGCGTGCCTACTGGGCGCTCGCGAGGTTTGCTTTCCTAATTCTCAAAAGATCTGGTGGGGGAAGTCTCCACCCTTACTGCAGAGGCAGTTTCTTGTATGCATCCTTCCACAGCTGTAGTTGTGCGATGGGAAGAGCTGGAAAAGGTTAACAGTCTTTTGCCCTCGCAGTCCTTAAAAGATTCAAGACCCTTCCAGTAAGGAAGTAAACAACCCATTAAACCAGTGTTTCTAAAGGTTGGCAACTTTAAGATGTGTGGACTTCAACTCCCAGAATTCCCCAGCTAGCATGCTGAGTTGCCAAGGTTGAGAAACACTACATTAAATGAAGCGCAGTAAAGCGAGAGAAACGTTCCAAGCATGTTGACTGTAGCTCCCTCTGCACCTTGCAAGTGCCGTTCTATCCAATAACCTCTACTCTATAGTCCCTCGAGATGAAAATCAGAAGTACCGTTCTATCTTCATTCTCCCGGAAGTGATTTAACAAGAACTGGGGCCTGGAAGTGCCTGGTATTGGTTCTCACAGGAGACCCTTCCGGTTTGGTTCTCTTCATTTCCTGTAAGACTTAGGGCAGGTGCCTCTCTGACAGAGTGCAGCTCTATTGTTTTAACTAGTAGCAGCCAGGTTCATCTGAGTGTTGAATTGTATACTGTAGTTTCCTTCGTAGAAAACTGCAGGGGAGCTACTCGAGAATAACTCCTGTTATAGTGAAGGGGATTTCAAACAAGATAAATGGTTGGCAGTCTCTTCTCCGTAAGGCTGCTAAACCTAGCGGCGGTAAATTTGAAAAAAATGGTAGGCTTTTAATTCTCAGTCCTTGCCTCGCTTTATTTCGTAAGCGTGATACTGAACTTGGCTTGCTATCATACGCAACAGCAATGAGTGTGTAGCAATATTGTGGAATTCTAAGAGATTCAAGAATAACAGACAATCAGCTGTGAGATGAGAGACCTTCCTAGGTTGTTATTTTTTCAAATCAGCGAACTGCAGTGCTTAAATCAAGCCTTTGAATGTGTACGTTCTTCCCTTTTTCCCCCCCCCTCAAGTCATCAAATACAAAGGATGGTGTCCTCCAAGACAAGCGTATCAAGATCATGGCTAGAGGGCTTCCGAAGCAAAAGCCGATTGAAGGAGTTAAGCAAGTGTTGCTTGTAGCTTCTGGTAAAGGGGGCGTAGGAAAGTCCACAACGGCTGGTAAGTCGTTCATGTTATATTCGATATGTGATTCCTGCATATCTGTGCTTAACAATTTATAATGCATGCATTCGTTGTTCTTGTTGTCATTATATTTTATATCCCACCTTTTTTTTTATAATAACTCAAGGCAGCGAATGATATAGGAATAGCATTATCAAAGGGAGTAGTTTTTTAAGGCTAATTAAGATGTTCTGTCCCTAAGCAGAAGATTTTTTGTGTGTTATCCAACAGTCCATCTGCCAGGTGTGTTGGGCTATTGACCACCAAACGCCCAGCAAACAGTTTGCCTTCTCTAACTTGCCTCATTTCCTGGCCTAAAAATTAAGAAGGAGACAGAGAGATTTAGGGTCAGACTGCAGATAAAGAGTGCCCTGGATGAAAAGAATTCAGTTTCTTCTTTCCCCTCCAGTGATAGGTTTTGGAATGTTGCTTTCCAGGCAGCCTTTCCAGCCCTTTTATCAACAGTGCCATAGGAGGCCTTAAGGTGGCATGTGCGTCTGTGTGCTTTTCTTTCCAGAGACTGATCAGAGTGGACGCATATGACTTTCTTGTGTGTGAGAGTATATATCAGTGAGGGTCCAACAAGAGTGAATGCATGCATGTTGTGTCTGTGCACAGGAGGGGTGTCTCTTCTCTTCCTGTGTTGCATTCTATGTCTGCATGTGTTCATGGGGAAGCACAAGGTGAGCTGTGTATGTTCTGCTTTGTGTCATGTGATCAGTAAGGAGAGGACAAGGGGGGCTGAAAATGGAGGAGTCAGCAGCATTCTGATCTGCTGCCCAACCGTCTTTCCCATAGAAATGCATTGGGAAAATCTTTTCAGGAATGTTTTTCTCTGCAAGACTTCTGAGCAAACTGGAGACAGCTCCGCGAAAAGTGGAGCTGATGACCACAGTGGAATGAAGAGCCAGTGAGTAGACCAGCTCTTTGTAATTTCTCTCAGGACAGGAAGAGGACTTGAGATCTCCCACAAGTGCTCCAGACAGGTGCTCCTTGCGAGATTGCAAAACAGTGGTCTCCAGCAGGTTTAGAGCTCTGGGAGACCAGGGAATAGCCATCTTGCTCAAACCGCGATCAGCACCTGTGAAAGGACACTTTAAGTTCACATACTTTCTTCTCTAAACACTTTCGGAAATTGTTTGTTAATTGCTTTTCAGCTATTAGGAACCTTTGGATCGACAAGTCTGAAAACACTGGGTGAATTTCTGTGATGGAATTTATCTATGAAGAAGAGGGTGATGTGGGGGGTAGAAGCAGAGATCAAGGCTATCAGGAAGTAGGGGGTGCAGGAAGGGAAAGGAGACAAAAGACAACACAGTCCACAGGAGAAGCATGGGAAGCGAAAGAAGTTCAGGATAGCCACTCCCTAGAATCTCCACTTGTTGCAGTAGTATAGATTTAGTCTGGCAAGATTCTGTCTATAAGGTGTAAGCAAATAAAGGAACTTAACTCAACTGGACTGTTTCACCAATGTTCTTGGGCTGGGCTTGACAGTTTCCTTCAAGCCTTAGTGAAAGAGATTTTAAATACAAGTTTAAGGACTTAAAATTTTTGTGGGGGGAGTAAACAGCAAAAGAGTGATTAAAACTTTGATTTTGGAAAGTTACAAATGAATTAAGGGTCCAGATAAATTTGAAATAAGATTTTGAATTAATTATAAAAAATCCTTCTCATGGGAAAATGCTTTTGTTTTGAATTCTTTTTAAAAAGCACAATAAGACTTTAAAAATTGGACATTAGAGGGAACTAGAAGGATCTAAAGATTACAGTTAAAGGAGAAGAACACTTAAATTTGACTTAAAATACAGAATGAAGCAAAATATTTTAACACTGGACATACTGAAGGGCATTTTTGAACAATGGACCCTGAAGTTAATTTTAACAGTGTCTGCTTCTATAGATAGTGTTTCAAGTAGTGATCAAGTGTTTAAAAGATGTTATGGAAGAGGAACAAGTTTTACCTGACAAGATTGAGGCTGATTTGAAAGTGCATTTACAAATGACAAGCTACAAGTATAACATGAACTGAAGATGTTACCTGGCCTGGTAATGAAACATTTGCAAGAAAACAGCCAAGCTCAGAGAACCCCAAGGATTCCACAGTTCAACCCTGAGCTACATATATTATCTTCTAATGGATGAAGATATTACAGTGGACATACAAAAGAAACTGGCTGATGTCTTAATATTTAAAAGGGATATACAAATAACAAACCAGACCTGGATAAGTTTCCTATATTGGATTTACAAAAAGAGGCTTGTTAAAGCTTTGAAGAATTTTGTGAGAAGGGATAAAGAAAAAAATGAAAAGGATTTACAAAAAGAGGCTTGTTAAAGCTTTGAAGAATTTTGTGAGAAGGGATAAAGAAAAAAATGAAAAGAACAAATAATGTCTAGGACGTTATTTGAAGGGACTAAAGATCAAGATTGTTAGAAGTAAAAGGAAGGAATATAAAGTTGGTTTATTTGATCAAGTTTAAAATAGATATGCTGTTACCTCTGGTAACTCTTAATGGACTTTTTCTGACACCGGGACTGAAATGACAATGTTTTATGGATTTGTTTATTGATAAGATTTGAGATATGGGAAAGATCATTTGTGGTATTTTAAGAGAAGGTGATAAGTTACTAAAATTGTTTATACTTATGATGAAGGAAATCACTTCTGTATATTTTCTTTTTCTTTATTATATTCTTATTTTTTCTTTTCTATTTTTCCTTCTCTTTTTTCCTTTCTTGCACCTTCTATTGTTTTCTTTTTTCTTTTATTTTTTTAGTTTGCATTAGTTTTTATTGTTGTAAATTATAATCTTTAATAAAATAATTTGTCAAAAAAAGGAATGTTTTTCTCTGCAACTTTCAGATGGATTTGACCAATTTTCTAATCAAATCTTTTTTTGCTGACTTCTTCCCCCACACCAAATTTGGCCCTGTTTTGTTCTCAGAGAGTTATTACGCTGATGGACAGACAAGCAAAGTCCCAAGCCCATTTCCATAATGTCTTTCTAACATTCCAGTGGCTTAAAGGCTTACAGCTAGTAAGTTTGCTTCTTCATTGCCAGCGGTTGCCTCCTCCAGTTTCATTATACCACTAAACTCTTCAGAGTTCCAGCTTTTTTATTCCAAATACTTTTTCCTTTGTCCTTTTCCTAACTTAGTTTTTTGTTTCTAAAAACCCCCCTTGTTTTTCAAGGAAAGGTTTAGGAAGCAGGGGCTGTTGGCTGATTCACATCTTAGGGTGAAGAAGTAAATAGTGGCGTTGGGGAGTGAGATAAGTATTACTTAAAGGTTTCTGCTATTATTTAAGATAAATTATTTTGATTTTCTATTTTTAGACCCCAAAACTAACTGTCCTCTATCTCATACACAGTAGCTTGATTCACCCCATGTTATAAAAGTGTCTGGGTTTACACCTAATAAATAAATCATAGTTAATAAAGCACAGTGGTTGGGTTTACATATCAGCCTAATCTACAAGTAGAAATTCTCAAATTGTGGTCAGGATACCCCAAAAGGGGATTAGCACAATTTTCTGTTGAGCTTGGACTTTTGAGTATTATTGAGCTTGCAAATCGCCTTTCCACCTGCTTCTTTTTCTTAGCAGTTGCACAAGGGTTCAGTGAACTGTCAACAACATTATTTATTAGAATACTATTTTGAAATGAACTTTTTTTAAATACTTACTGGAGTTGGGTAGAAGGACTTTTGTCCAGTTTCGGCTAGTGTGCTAGTGTGTTATTTGGATTGCAAAGTTCTTGCAACCTTATCTCATCTCCTCACTTCCTAACTATATTACTGCAATGCACTTTACAAATGGCTGCCTTTAAAGACCACCAGAAACTGAAATTGGTACAAAATGCAGTAGTCCAGTTGTTGGCAGGGGCTCCAGGCCTTGCATTAGTTGCTAGTAGGTATCCAGGTGCAATCAAAAGTGCTGGTTTTAACTTATGAAGCCTGGCGTGGCCCCAGGTCCCTGTAGGACTGCCTTCACCCATCTGAATCATCCTGCCTGGTATGTACTTCCTGGGAGAAGCTTTGGGTTATATCCCACTTTTTGTAAAGTAAGGGGAATGTAGGCTAGGAGGCGCTGTTTCTCAGTCATTGCTCCTGCTTTACAAAATAGACTCGCCTAGAATTAAGATTCACATCATCATCCGTCTTAACTTTTGGAAAGGTACTTAAATTGGAATTCTTCAATAGAATGACTAGTGAATTGCCACCATTTTTTAATTTCAAATTATTGTGCTTAATCTTTGACTTATATTTTGGTTATGTTAATTATTATTTGTATGTTTTATTGAATTGTTGCAAATCACCATGAGAATTGATTGATTTGAAGCTCTCTTTCAATAAATAAATAGGGATCAAGACCCCATGTAGTCTTCAGGTGACATAGCATGTTGTCCATCACAGACTTAAAGTACAGGTAGTCCTCACTTAATGATGGTTTGTTTAACAACGGTTCGAAGTTACGATGGCCTTGGAAAAGTGCTTTACAACCTGTACTTGCACTTACAATCGTTGCAAACTGTCGCACCCCCCCACGATCATGTAATTGCAATTGTGACCTTTTTTACAATGGCCATTAAGTGAATCACCGTGGTTGTTAAGCAAATCACATTATTAAGTGAATTCTGGCAAAAACTGTCCATTGGGGAAACTGGATTTGTTTAACGACCACGTGATTCACATAACTGCAGCAATTCGCTTAATGACCTTCATAAAAATGGTCATAAAATCAGGTCTGGTCATGTGGTAACTAGCTTAATGACCATCCCACTTACCGACCAATTTTCTAGTCCCTATTGTGGTTGTTAACCAAGGACTACCTGTATACAGATTATGGTTTCCAAGGTATTATTTTCAGCACTATTGGCTGTAGATTGGATTAATTACAATTCAGTGATTTATTGCCCAGAATTTTTTTTTTAAATTACAGCTCAGGAGTTTAGAAACATTCCTTCTTTCAGCTGATTGAACATTTGAAGTTAATGCTGCAAGAATTTTGCTAAATTCTTTTTCTCCTTTTTTCAGTAAATGTAGCCCTTGCATTGGCAGTAAATGAGCCGGTAAGTGACTATTGAAGAATTGTTTCAGGTATTAATAGATATCTTACTAATGGCTCTTTAGGGATAGATTTAAACCAGTTGCC